TTTTGGGTGGTTTGGGGGGATTTTGGGTGTTCTTGGGGGGGGTCCCGGTGGTTTGGGGAGGTTTTGAGGTGATTCTGGGGGTATTTTTAAGGGGATTTGGGGTGTTCTTGGGGGGTCTCGGTGGTTTTGAGAGGTTTTTGGGTGGTTTTGGGGTAGCTTTAAGGGGATTTTGGGTGTTCTTGGGGGGGTCCCGGTGGTTTTGGGAGGTGTTTGGGTGATTTCTGGGGTGGTTTTAGGGGGATTTCGGGTAGTTTTAAGTGGATTTCGGGTGTTCTCGGGGGCCCCCGGTGGTTTTGGGGGCATTCCGGGCGGTTTTAGGAGCTCTCTCGGCGCCGCGGGGCTGTGCCCGCCCCCACGCGCCCCGCGCCCCCCCAGATCCACATCTCCAAGAAGTGGGGCTTCACCAAGTTCAACGCGGACGCCTTCGAGGACATGGTGGCGCAGCGGCGCCTCATCCCCGACGGCTGCGGCGTCAAGTACGTGCCCAGCCGCGGGCCCCTCGACCGCTGGCGCGCGCTGCACGCCGCCTGACCCCCGGGGGGCTGGGGGGCTGCGGCCTTTGGGGGGGTCCCCCCAATCCGGAGGAATAAAGGCGTGTGCCCCCAGCCCGCTGCAGTGCTTCTGGGGCCGTTCTGTGGTTTCCCCTCTTTTGGGGTCTTCAAGGGGTGCCCCGAAGCACCAGCTGATGTCGGGGGAGGGGGACGTACCCCCCGCCAAGGAGGAGGCTGCAATCTTGGGGTGAAATGAGTAAAAACGAGGCTTTCGTTTATTCCCACAGCGGGGCTCGGGCCCCGGCTGCGCCCCCCTCCCCACCCCCCAAAAAACCCACCCCCAAAAGGGGCTGTACGGACAGGGCGACACAGGGGAGACAAAGAACGGGGCGGCGGGGGGGGGGCCCGGACGCCTGGGCCCCTTCCACCCCCCCCACCAAAGGGGACAAAGGGGAGGGGGTGACGGGGCCTAACGGCAGACGAGCCACACTCACGGACACGGGGACGGGGGGCGGCGGCGGCCGCTACACGGTGGTGACGGAGAGCAGCGGGTTGTAGCGGCGGGCGCCGTCGGGCGCGCGCCCGCCCCGCGCCAGCATCTCCTGGATGGCGGCCCAGTTGTCGAGGATGCGGCGGCTGCGCTTGCGGAGCCCGCGCCGCTGCTGCCCCTCGGCGCCGGCGCCGGCCTGCAGCAGCGTCT